CATGCAGCGGGAGCTGGCGCAGGGGCAGCGCGGGCAGGTAGCGCGGGCGGGTAGGGGCGGGATTCGAAATTTTTTGAATTAAAAGGGTTCGCGGGTTGACCCGGCGGGTCAATTTCTGGAAACCGAACCCGACCCGTTTTGAAATCGGGTCGGGTCCAACCCGAATTTTCGGGGTCGGATTTTCGTGTCGTGTCAAATATTGACATCCCTAGTTATGATCACAGCTTAAGGCCTTGTTTGGGACAGATTTCTTAATGCTTTTTACAAACAACTTTTTTTAGTTAAAAAATTTCTTGGATTAAAAATTTTTGTACTAAAAAATTATTTTAGAAAACAATATATTAGAAAGCTGTTCCAAACGAAGTCTAATACAGATTCAAAGTCATTTATTTGATCTCGAGCAATGCTATGTTACTTGTTTATGAGTATATTTTAGCTTATTTGAACTCTTTTCAAGTTAAGTATGACTCTCTCAAGCTTCATTTTTATTTAGATTTTGTTTGGGATGACTTTTTTTATTGCTTTTTAAAACATAATTTTTGTACTAAAATTTGTTTTAAAATGCAATAAAAAAATCGTCCCAAACGAAACCTTAGTGAATCAAATTTTGTAGATTTTGATCAAATGGCTAAAATGTCAACTTTTAAATCTAAAATAAGACTTTATAAGCTCTCGGATCATAGAAAATAAATTTTAAATCTTTGATCAATTATCTCTCCTTTTATTAGAGGGTTCTCTCTCGTCAACCCTAATTTCTCGTCTATTTTAAGCTATGTAGTTCCCATTAAGTGACTTACAATCCACTTATTTGATAAAAAGAAGTGACCAACTAAAAATAATCAAAGATTTTGTTTGGGACAGCTTTCTTATTTTTTTCTAAAGTAACTTTCTGTAAAGTTGAGCGGAAAAAAAGTTATCTCAAATGAAGCCTAAGTGACATCTCCGCAGTATGATTGACGACATTCCCCATCACAACCAGTGATATGGGAATCATTAATGTAACTAGAGGCTTTTCGGTGGCAAATAATCTTTTATTATCGTTGGTTTTTAGTTTTGCTACCATTTTTTACAGTCACATAATGTCTAAATTCAAACAACACTAGATACATAACAAAGTATAAAATTATGCTGATTGTTGCTATTCATGATTAGGTGTGTCAAAAGTTAACACTAATTGAAATTAGACTTGAACCTGACCCAAAAAAAATACAGATTCAGGTAAACCTGTTTGTCAAACGGGTCAGGTTCGGTTTGGATTTCTGACCCGTATGAACAAAGGGTCCGGTTCAGGTTGACCCGAAAACCCGTAGGTCGACCCTGCCCAACTAACTCATAAGTCGTGACCTAGGCTCATCTACGTGACTGCACCTAGCCTAGTCGCCACAGACCGCATGTCCGCACATTCGATTGTTGACCCCCGACCCTGCCTTAGAGCCTCCTTCTGCCAACCCGCACGACCCTGCCCTTGTGACTCCTCCCGCCAACCCACACACCTCCGCCTTGGCGTCTCCTTCTATTCACTACCCGCATCCCAGCTCCCGCCTCCTCCGGCCTATGGCAGTCCACCTCACATGCGAATGAGACCTCATTGAGTCACTAGTCACCGCTTGCATTAGCCGAGGCAGCCAGGCCCAAGCCCTAGTTCCCTACAGGGAGCGACTCAATGACTGTGCTAACGAAAGGAAATCCTATCGGTTCGGGTTTGAGGGTCGGGTCGGGTCTAGGTTGTATACCCTAACCCATCTAGCTAAATGGGTTGGGTTCGAGTCAACCCGTTTATGCTCGGGTCAACTCGGGTTGGACCCGAACTCAACCCGGTTACCCGAATTGACACCCCTACTGATGATGCACCTTTGCTCATGCCCGTGTAATCTAGAGAAGCTACCATTCAAAATGATGATGCCTTACTACAAAAAATTATAGTAGCGATTTGCAAACTGTCACTAAGAGTTATATATAGTGATTTTGAAAGTGCTAGACAATTCGTTTACAATAAAAAAAAAAACATCAAATTTGCAACGGTTCTTAAACTGTTTAAAAAAAATTTGTAAGGCTTAAACTGCTACAATAGTTTATAAAGTGTTGTGAAACCTAATTTAATAGTAGTGCTTGTAAATGAGAGATTATTACGTGTAGTCATCAGATCGTCCAGAGGCCAATCAGGACGCACTACGTCACCCAATACACTACAATACATAGTAACATAACACAACATATTGGTGATGTGGCGCTTCCTGATTTGCCTCCGAACAACATCCGGTGATCACAAGCAATAATTTCGCCTTATAAAGATGTTATTCTTGTCATCACCAATCTCTATGGTATTTGAATCATAAGCCATCATCATCCTCACTACCCTACTAATAATACTGAATAAATGTCCTTCCAACCATTCAAAAAGAGTCGAGTTTCGCATTCGGATTCAAATTTTTTGGTAATTTTTAAGGAATTTTTTGCTGTTTTTATTCACAAAAAAAAAAAAAAAAAAAAAAAAAAAAAAAAACATTAGAAATCTCATTGATCAAACTTATGCCCTTTGTGCCAGTTTTTCAATCTCA